ATTTGCACTTTCCCTTTGGACCTTGTCTGTTCTGAGCAGTTCATGCTCTTTGGACTGTCAGAAATCAGCTGTATTTGCAAACCCCAGCTAAGGCTGCTGTCAGACTTTTCCAACTTTTTTTCATACTGCATCAGTTTTCATCCCTCCAGACAGAATTTCCTCAGCCTCGTCACCCACCAAAGGCATCGCAAAGCATGGCGAGGAACAAGGCTGTGAGAAGCCAATCTTTTCCTGCACAAGTCCCCCAAAATTTCAGTTCTCACCCCAGAGCGTTGCAGCACTCGAAGGAAAGCACTGCAACACTCTCAGCTTCGTGTTTGGTGAGCAGCTTTCTATCCTCTCCATCAGCGGGCCCCTCTATACGTCCCAAGCACAAGCAATGCATTGGGTTTGGGTCCCCTTTACGTACCCGCAGCAGAGCATCCCCAGGCCCAGGAGCGCTGGGGACCACAGGCTCTGCCAGAGCCACCAGTGACTCCCCATGTCACTAGATGGCGGCAATGCCTTGCATCCACCGAGGAGATACACCAACGCAGCCTCAGGGGATCCTTGACCTGCTTGCACCCAGCCTTTTCCACCCTCGAACAGGTCCCTCCACCTTTCAGGCCATGGACACCCAGCCATCCCGTGAGGATTTGAGGCAACAGCCAAAGAGCCCCATTTTGGAGCCAAGGTAGAGGAGGCAGGGGTGATGTCCTGCAGCAGGAGGCCAGGCTACGAAGGTGGGCAACCTGAGCCAACGCAAGGGCTCATTGAGGTGGGAAGGAGGTTCTTCGTGGTCACCCCATCTTCTCCCTGAGATCTGACCTGGGTTTTAGCAGCCTCCTTCCAGCAGCGTCTCTCCTCCCCTGGGGGTCTCTGGAGCCTACCCCCAGAAGAGCCTTAGAAAGGGGCACATGGAAAGACCCCAACTCGCAACCAGGACCAGAACATGCCAAATTTAATAAAAAAGCATCACATAAGCCTGAACAGCACAAAAATCTCCCCATATCTCCCAGTCTTGTCTCTGCCTGTGAGCTGTCTGGTATACAAGCAAAAGCTTTCAGACCTGTAAGCGACCCAAGCAACGCCAGGCAGGTCCAGTAAGCGGGTGATAAGGATGTTTGGGGTTTTGCAATGCCATTTACTACCCTGTGCAGAGTAGGTCCCAGTAGGAAGTGTGTTATGTTGTCTGAGACAAAATAAATAAGCTTGTCACTGGGGGTTGTTGAAGAAGTTATGTGTCCCCTGCCCTCTCGTGCACAGAAGTATGAATTTTCACAGAGAAAACAGGGAGATTCCAGGAAAAAAATATAAGTTTTTGGCCAGAAATCAAACTATTTCAGCTCTGCCTTTCTCAGAGGCAGATCCACAGATTGGTGAGGTTCAGAGATCCATAGCAGGAAGGGGGCTAGGGAAGTTTGCAGAGAGTGTCTGCAGCTGCAAAGTCAAATGTGCGCCCAGAATCATTTGTTTGAGCTTCATGTCTTGTTCACAGCCTTTTCTTGTCTTCAAGGAGATATAAGGCAGAAATGTACAACTGTAAATGAATTAAAGTGCA